CATTACCTTTATCAGGTTGGCCCAGATTTGTGTCCCGGAGAAGCCAGACTCAGTTAAAAGTAATGTATGGGATTTGGATGAAAGGAGTTGTTAGTGAACTTTAAGCTATATTGTTTCCTGGATCAATATGTTATTTAAAAGTAGAGACCAGGACTGAAAATGCAAATTCAGTTGGAGTGTTTGGTGTTCAGAAAAACCTGGGGTTAATTCCCATCACTGAATAGACCCTAGTGGGTGGGACATCTGTTAGTAAATGGAAATAGGTTCAGAATTTCCAAGATCTTGTGATGCTGTGTTACAAATTCTAGCCAGGTTGTCCTATATGAGAGGGCCTCATGGTAAATCCAAGCTAGGTTCCAGAGAAAAACGATTAAACATGGGCGGTGGTTTTGTAAACCTTTAATCCCAGCATTGGGGAGGCAGAGGCAGGTAGATCTCAAGGCAGGTAGAGTTAAAGGCCCGGCTGGTCTACAGAGTTAATTTTAGGACAGACAGCAAAACCCTGTCTCCGAGAAAACAACCACAAATGATTTAACTACGGGAACATGTATACATTTTTGCCACATGGTTTCCTAAGCGTTGCAAGTACAGTTACTGAGCATTCAGAATGAATTGCTTTCTGGTGGAAGTGTAGAGGTGAGCAGGGTCAGACTGGAACATTCCAACATGTAGAACATGTTTTTCTATTCATCCAAGTCTTTGCTAGAGATTTGCCTGTTAGGTTAAAAAAAAAACATGATTTTTAAAAAAATTTATTGACTTTTATTTCATATGCATTAGTGGTTTGGCTGCAAGTACATCTGTGTGAGAGTGTCAGATCTTAGAGTTATAGTGTAGAGATTGATGTGGGTGCTAGAATTTGAATCCAGGTCTTCCAGAAGAGCAGTTAGTGCTCCTAACTGCTGAGTTATCTCTCCATCCCCCTATCAAATCATTAAAAAAAAAAAAAAACAAAAAACAAAAAACAAAAAACTTATTGAGTACTTATCAACATGCCAGGCACCCATCTATATATATATATATATATATATATATATATATATATATACATGCTTGTAGTATATGAACTTCATTTAATCTTTACACAAGCATACACACACACACACACACACACACACACACATATACACCAGAAATAATCCAAAAGGATATAAAGAAAAAGATGTTCAATTAAAGATCAAGGGCAGAAGCAATTGGAGAAGGGATCTATCACAAGGGTAATGGTGTAATGTGAGCTTTCTGTTGTTTCCCCAACCAGTACAAATTTTTCTGATCTGCCCCTTCACTTTTTGTTATCTTTTTACTTTTATATGTAGATCCCAGTCCCTCTTCCTTCCTCCTTCCCTCCTCCCCTCCCTCCCTCCCTCTCTTCTTCTTCTTACCCTCTCTCCCCCTTCACATGCACCCTGACCACCCTCCCCTCCCATCCCCCCACCCCAATTCCACATGTAGGGCAATGCTATTCAGGTGGGGTCATGTATATCGGTCAAGTCATTTGAAGTAGGGACTAGGACTTCTCTCCTGTCTCTAGGTTAAGGCAGTTTCCCTCCATGGGGGATGTGTCCACAAGGTCCTTTTGTGCATCCTGGTTTCACTGTCTGAGGTCCCTTAGACTGCCCAGGCCTTCTAGCTGTGAGACCCATTTTCAGGGGGCCTGAGTCAGTCCCATGCTGGCTTCCCAACTATCAGTGGGGGGGGGGGGGGGGAGGCCATTAGCTCCTCCTCATTCAGGTCAGCTGTCTCTATGTGTTTCTGCAACCTGGTCTTGTCCTCTCCCTCTGCTGGATTCTAGTTCGACTCAGTGTTTAGTTATGGGTGTTTGCTTCTGTTTCCAACAGGTACTACATGAGGTGGATAAGTTAGTTGTTGATCTCACTGTCAGGGAAGGGCATTTATGGTAGCCTTTCCATGGTTGCTCAAATTGTTAGTTGACCTGCCCCTTCACTTTTAATGATAGCAAAGTCTTTATAACCCCGTAGGCAGATCTCAAGTAGCTGAAGGGACAGAACACCAATGCTGTACAACTGCATATTTCAATATCATGGAAAAGAATGAGAAACTTAAGGGAAACATTTTGTTTCTCCAATAAATATTTTAGTTTTCCACAATACAGGTTTTTTTTTTTTTTTTTTTTTTTTTTTTTTTTTTTTGAGACAGGTTTTTGCTATGTAAGCTGGGCTGGCCATTTAAACTCTGGGCACTGCCTCAGTCATTTGAGTTTTGTATTATAAATCTATGCCATGTCCTCCATCATCTGATAGGAAGAACTTTTTGTTTTGTTTTGTTTTTAGAATGGTGGATGATGAAGTCCACCTTCAGGTTTATTTGATTAGTCTTGGGTTAAGCTTTTAGCTTCTGAATTCTTAATGGGATGTTGCTGTTGTTCAGTCTAGGTTGGTAAACCAATTTTCACAAATATATCATCTTGATTTCACAAAATTTATTTCCTGAAATCCTGAAAGTATGTTTTAATAAAAAACCTGGGTAGAACTTAGGCCTTATCTTTCATTGTCGCTACTTTTCTCTTGTGTGGATCTCATTTTGCTTCTCTGGAAAGAACAGAATTAACAGCTGGAGTAAATCAGTTAAGAAAGATCAATGTTCTTTTATAAATAACAAAACTGATGCATAGACCTTAATTCCTCACAAAATTATGACAGGCTGGACAAGATTCCAGGACACCCTTCTTGTAGTGAGCTATTCACTTTGTCTTCACTTGTGTGGTACTGACCATACCCATTGGGGGTGGGGACAGGGGCAGATGTGACCTGAGGGAACTAGGTCTGGGGAAGGGGCCCCAGAGTGCACTCTTACTTGCAGCACAGGGGTAGAGGAGCATCTGGAGGCATCCTTGGGACCAGGAACCCGCTGGTGGTCATCTGTCTCTGTTGTAAGTTATTTCTATTCAGCCTGTTTGTTTTTCCTGATCCTTATTAAACCATGATACTTTTTTCTCTTATAACATGTTATATTTTATATTTCCTTCCTCTTCAGCCATATATTCCACTTAACTTTAGATAAAACACGTTTTTGCTACACCAGTGTTCCTTAATAGAATTCATTTTGTAAACTGGGTGGTGATGGGGCAGGCCTTTAATCCCAGCACTCAGGAAACAAAGGCAGGTGGATCTCTAAGTTCATTTTGTAGTGAGCAGTTTATATACACCTTAGGACAATTGTGGCTGTGCTCTAGCTTCCTCAGGTAACATTCTGACAGTTTAGTCACTGTTCCAGCCTCCATCCTATGGAAAGTTTCAATTGCTCTAATGGGGTTTGCCTCCTATAGGATTTTTAAAGCTATTTGGGATTTTATTACTCTACAGGTTTCTAAGTGAGCCCTTTCCCTCACCTTCTCTTCCTCTTTTCTTAGATAATGAGGTTATAGGGTGGGCCTGGAGGGATTACAGGTGCTTGCCACCACTGTCAAGCTCTGTATTATACTTTTACAGTCCATCAGATTTCTTCATCTGTATTTCAATTATCTTGTATTGTTTGACACAAAGTCTCACTGTGTATCCTGTGGTGGCTTTGGTGTTATGGAGATCAGCTTGCCTCTGCTGGGATTAAAGATAAAAGTTTGATTTGAGTTCTCATCCAAGAAGATTCAGATTAGATTATGTACCTAAATTGTGCTAAGCTTAATTAATATTAAGTGATTAAGTGAAAACTAACTAAAAGCACACACATTCACTTCCTCAGTCACATGCCACATTGTTTGTGTTTAAAAAGACACAGCTTTTGGTGAGGCAGAGGCAGAGGCAGGTGGATCTTTGTGAGGTGAGAAGCAGCTAGTTCTACAGAGTTCCAGGACAGCCAGGGCTATATAGTGAGACTTCTCGCAAACAAAACAAAATCAACAACAGAAAGCCACACATGCCTTTGACATTCAAAGGACAGAAATAACCTTAAAATGTTAGGGAAGGATTCAAGATCCTTCTGAAATCACCAACTACTTTCCTAAGGGAGGGAGTTTGGTTAGTGAGATGGGTTTGAACATGAAAAATGAGGCAGTGAAGAGCATTTAAAATGTGTTCTTTAACAAATAAAGAAAATGTCTTTCTCCTGTAGGCTACTCATAACCAGAAAGATTTTGAAAATCATCAATTTCAGGTGGCTCAGTAATTGCCAATTTCTCCACATTCTCCATTCTGGGACTACTACCACTACCAGCCCTTTGCTTTTTGTTATTGTTAACTAATTGTTATCTAAGAGAGGTTAATATGACACATAGGTATGCCAGAATCCAGGTCTCTATGTCACCCAGCTTTTTTTTTCTTTTTCTTTTGAGACAAGAGTTTCTCTGTGTAGCTTGGGCTGGCCTTGAATTCCAGAGCTTCGACTGACCCTGCTGGTATTAAAGGCATGCACCATCATCCCGTTGAAATTTTTGTTTTGCAACACCATCTACTCTGAAGGCTGAAGCAAGGTTGCAAATTTTAGGTTGGGCTGGAAAAAGGGCCTGCTCCTGCTGGGCAACTGAGAAATAGTAATCAAACTAAAATGAGTGAAATAACAGCAATACATGTGACTTGGTATGGCTTTAGTACCTTTACCATTTCAAGTTAAGCGTTGATTCAATATAAACCTGAACACACTACAACTATCACCTTGATAACTTGGAGAATCCAGTAACTTCAGTTAACCATTACTTATAAAATCTGGTTTATTCATTGCTATTCTGGTAGTTAACTTTTAAGTCTACCGCCGGGCGTTGGAGGCCCACTTTTAACCCCACAGTCGGAAGGCAAGCATGTAAATTCGAAGCCAGCCTGGTCTAGAGTTAGTTCCAGGACAGGCATCAAGTACAGAGAAACCTTTTCTCAAAGACAAAGATTAAAACAGGAGTCGGAATTCCCAAGGTGGATTCCAAGGGTCTAATCCTCATAAAACCTTTTAAGTTACACGGACAAGAATCTCCCAACATTGAAAACCAAAAATTGGCTTAGCTCCTTTGTTGAAAGTGTGGTGGCCCTAAAAAGGGCCTTTTATGTACTCAAACCTCTGCGCAATTTAGCCGCCGAAGCCGTAGAGCGTGCGGCCCTGGCGCTTGAGCGCGTAGACCACGTCCATGGCAGTGACGGTCTTGCGCTTGGCGTGCTCCGTGTAGGTGACCGCATCGCGGATCACGTTCTCTAGGAACACCTTCAGCACCCCGCGGGTCTCCTCGTAGATGAGGCCGGAGATGCGCTTGACTCCGCCACGGCGAGCCAGGCGGCGAATGGCGGGCTTGGTGATGCCCTGGATGTTGTCGCGGAGGACTTTGCGGTGGCGCTTGGCACCTCCTTTGCCAAGGCCTTTGCCTCCCTTGCCACGGCCAGACATAGCAACAAAAGCAAGTTAACAGCTGAAGTGTAAACTGGTAGCTTGTGGAACGCAGGTCTGTCTTATAGAGAAGGTGCGGACCGGAGTGAAAACAGCAAGCGCCAGGCGGAAGTGCCTGCATCTGGAGGAGGAGCCTTCAGCAGCGCTGGAGAATTTTTAAATTCTATTTTACCTCATTTACCTCATTTACCTCATTTAAGAAAACCTGTGCCCGACCCTTTAATGGGATTTCTGCCCCTTCTTCTTTATACAAGAAAGATTTAGCAATATAAGATGTGTGTGGAAAGCAAGCAAAATTCCGTGTCTCGTGTCTCTCATTTACGTTATTCCTTTTAGCGCTTTGTATAGAACGATGTTTAACTTGGGACAGCTTTTAATGAAACAGTAAAATAATGAGAAAAATCACGAATTCTTCCGCATAGCTATAAATTCAATAAAATGTTTTAACAAGAGAACTATTTAAACGGCTGTTATTTTGACACAGCTTCCTTAGAGTGTCTGATGTGGTAATTGTTGTGTAAACCAGGTTGGTCTGGAACCCTAGCTCTGCTTCACGAATCCCAGGATTGGCTTTCAGCACAACACATGATTTAATACTTTTTTTAAGTCAAATTTTTGAAATTAAACAAAGAAGTGAAACACAATTATATATTTCCGATACATTATAAATGCTGAAGGAATTCCAGTTATGAGTTTCAAGGAAACCAGATTTTCGATTTTATAGTGTATTTACCTGCTTTTCCTACCCCCACTGTTTCTTTTGGCTGTCCTGGAACTCGCTCCCTAGACCAGATTGGCCTTCAAGTCAGATCCACCAGCCTTTGTGCTGGGATTAAAAATGCAGATGCCACCACTGCTTGAAGACTACATGTCTCTTTGTCAAGGACAATTTTACATGGGAGTGGGTGACTTCACAGACCATTAGGGGAAAAAGAAACGATCAAATTTGCCGAGGTGGTTATAACCACGCACTTAACTCTTCCGAATACAGACACCAAATGCGCGAGCACAGCGTTACTTAGTCTCTAGGAACAGACGGCCCAATTCAGTGGCAAGGATTGTGTAGCCTGTGCTATTTTGCCTCATTTTGACAAGGGGGAGCAACGGTATTTACTTTTGTACCACTCCATTGACATGCTAAGACTCTTTTTCAGAAAACGTAGATGGCTCTGAAAAGAGCCTTAGGTTTGCGTTAAACTAAGCAAGAGAAATTATTTCCCCTTGGCCTTATGGTGGCTCTCGGTCTTCTTGGGCAGCAGCACGGCCTGGATGTTGGGCAGGACACCGCCCTGCGCGATCGTCACGCGGCCCAGCAGTTTGTTGAGCTCCTCGTCGTTGCGGATGGCCAGCTGCAGGTGGCGCGGGATGATGCGCGTCTTCTTGTTGTCTCGGGCAGCGTTGCCGGCCAACTCCAGGATCTCAGCAGTCAGGTACTCCAGCACGGCCGCCAGGTACACCGGGGCGCCGGCGCCCACCCGCTCCGAGTAGTTGCCCTTGCGGAGGAGGCGGTGCACACGGCCCACGGGGAACTGCAGGCCGGCCCGGGAGGATCGGGTCTTGGCCTTGGCGCGAGCCTTGCCACCCTGCTTGCCGCGTCCGGACATGACAGATATCTAGCTGTCAAACAGTGATCAACAGGAAAAGACACACACTGGTACTATTTATAGTCAACGTAAGGCGCGAAAATGGAGCGATTTCATTGGCTACATACAGGTGTTTCATCTAACCCAATGGCACCGTGGTTTTGAAAAGTCCTTTCTTTGATTGGACACTAAGTGAATGACGTTTGCTAATCACACTAAGCATAGTCACAAGTTTGTTTTGAAAGCAGCCAGTGCCGTGAGTACTTTCTGAGTCTTAACTTTGTGTCTCCTCTTTCATTTTTGTCTTCGCCATGCCTGATCCTGCGAAGTCCGCGCCCGCCCCGAAGAAGGGTTCCAAGAAGGCCGTGACCAAGGCGCAGAAGAAGGACGGCAAGAAGCGCAAGCGCAGCCGCAAGGAGAGCTACTCGGTGTACGTGTACAAGGTGCTGAAGCAGGTGCACCCCGACACGGGCATCTCCTCCAAGGCCATGGGCATCATGAACTCGTTCGTCAACGACATCTTCGAGCGCATCGCGGGCGAGGCTTCCCGCCTGGCGCATTACAACAAGCGCTCGACCATCACGTCCCGGGAGATCCAGACAGCCGTGCGCCTGCTGCTGCCCGGGGAGCTGGCCAAGCACGCCGTGTCCGAAGGCACCAAGGCCGTCACCAAGTACACCAGCTCCAAGTGAGCCGCTGACCTTACTCTTTACCCAAAGGCTCTTTTCAGAGCCACCCACTCTTCAGAAAGGAGAGCTGTGCTAGTCTGCCTATTTTAATCCTGCAGGTTCGGTATCTCGCTCGGTACTGGGATGCAAGGGTAGTAAGTTTGCTGCATACAGACAACTTCAGTTGGGATAAAGGGGGGGGGGGCAGAGGGACTTGTTTACCTCGTTACTTTGTCCTCTCACTTGGTTTGTGCTAAGTACATACTTGGATCTGTACCCTCAAACAGCACTTCTCTATTCTCCATGCTTGTTTTAACCATGAACGGGATACCCGAGACTAAAGTTTTAAAATAGGTGCTGCTAAGTTTTATTTCACGGTAAAGTGCCCGATGTTAAGCAGCAGAGCCCCGAATGTCTGATCTAGGGTTCACTAAGGTAGGCTTTGGCACCTCTACTTCTGCAGGCCCCGACTATACACAGCTTGTATCGTAACCTCCGCACACATACTTCTATCTAGTATTCTCACTGTTTTCAGGTATCAAGGTGCTGGGTCCAGTGCAACTAAGGCTGCAACTTCCCAGTGGCCCCGTGACCTCTGCTGGGACACTAGCCCTGCCACAAGGTGCCAAGCCGCAGCTTCCCTCACCTTTTTAATCAATTGCAACTACGGCTGCATCTTCAGTGGCCTCTCAGTGCCCTTAGCAGTTCTTTGTGACCCTTTCATGCCTTCAAAACCAGTGGATGTGAGAAAATCTACACTCTGAAAACAGCATTGTTTAAAAAAATGAAGTAATCTGAGATTCCTTTTTAAAAGGACTGGTACAGTGGTTCTCAACCTTCCTATTGCATTCTTTAATACAGTTCTTCATGTTGTGGTGACTCACAATCATAAAAGTATTTTTGTTGCTACTTCATAACTGTAATTTTGCCACTGTAATGAATCATGATGTAAATATTTTTGGAGATAGAGATTTGTCAAAGGGGTCCCAACCCACAAATTGAGAACACCTGGATTAGATGATGGTGTTATAAGCCACTTTAAAATTTCACAGTCAAGAACTAGTAACGTTTCTTTGTAGCCATATCTGTTAAAATGCTTTTGCAAATACTCATGACTGCTGTCAATGTCTTGGGTGTCTTTAGACTACTTTCCAACTCACTGATGCATTAGATAGTAAGACATGATGAAAATGTTCATAATTGTTGAAACATGTATAATGAACACTTGGAAAGACACCATTTATATACTGTTGCATAAATTATACTTTTCCTCAGCCAATCCTACCCCTTCAAAGTGAAAGAAATGCAGTCTCAATTAATAAACATAACTTCTCTTTTGGTCAGTAAGGGGCTATGCTGAGAGGAATCAGTTTGTAAAGAGAAAACCCATTATAAATAACCACTCAATGTTCTCAGTTAAGTTCAGCAGCATAGCCTCAAACCATGTAGCTCAATGGGAATCAGAAAAAGAGGTGGTGTAGGCCACAGCACAAGGGATGGTGGAGTCATGAGCAGAGGACACTGCTTGATAAAGTTTCAGCAAATCTTTGCCAAGGGATTCAGTCGCTAGTCTTTTGCTTTCATTTTAAAGAGTAGATGTTTGCATGGTGGGGAGGTTTCTTTGCTTATGCAGCCCCTGGGGAAAATATTCATGTACTCAATGGAAACTTTGAAGATGGGGAATCTTGGCCTGAAAGGAGAGTCACAGTAGAAAGAGTCTTCCTTGTACCTCTAGGCCTGTGGTACTTACCAATAGAGTAGATTCTGAGAAGCTTCTTGCTCAGCTTTGGAGCCTATATATAGGTAATAAGGATAGTGTCAGTTGATGGTAAAAGAATGCAGTACCAGAATCTTCCTTTCTGGGATCCTAAGAAGAGAGAAGGCCCCATTGTAAAACTAAGGAACAGAGAAATGCTATAATAAGCCAGTTAAATGCTATTATAAGGCATTTTGCAAAATCTTGCATTTTAGAAATCAAATGATTCTACATGTAACTTGGTTTAGGTAAAGATAGTTTCAGACTATCTAATACATTGTTAAGTATGTGAGCAGCCAGCCTAGACATGGGTTGTAAAAATAGAAGGTCCATGCTTATGGACTAGGCACCATCTTGCTTAAAAAGGACATGAACAAGCAATGTCATACTATCTACAAGCTCAAGGCCAGATTCCCCAGGATGACCCTCATTCCTTCAAATGACTTCTTGGGAAAACTCAACAACTGACAAAAGATGCAGTCCCTGAACCTATCAACCTGTGAATTTAGGGTTCCTTTCTCCCAGTTGGCTAACTTAGGTTAGGTCATTTCCTCACTCTAATCTCTCATCCTCCCTTGGGTATGTCCCAATACTTCTCCATAGGTCAAGCAAGGAGTTCAGCCCCTTTCCTCAGTCTCTGTGGTCTTTAAAATGTCACACTGTGTTAATGAGTATCCAGCTGTGCTTATTTTTGATGTTATGCAGGAAGTTATGTTTATTAGATTTACATGTAGCCATGTACAATAGGTAAAGATACAGGGATTCTCTTTGTCTCCTTTATGGATTCAAATGACTGAGGTTCAAACCTGTTCTGCCTGTTTCTTTTTGGGACCTCCACTCTGTATGGAAGGATTTCTGTGTCCTGATAACAATAACTCATCTAAGAAGTGATGTCTTGTTTGACATCTTGCCATCAACACACCCCACTGATACTGTGTTTCCTATCCTAGCATTTGGGATCTGGCATAATGTTCTTTTCTGGTTCATTTGCTTACT